TAGAAGGCCGCTCTGACTTTGAGTAGAGAAATCTGAGGTGAAGCTCGCTAACTTAATGATTGTTTCGTGAATATATGATTATTTCCCGACAGAATAGATTTCGGTCAAACTCATCGTGAACTCAAACCGAGATACTTGACTACATGAATATTACTAAGACAAACAGAAGGTTCCAACATAGAAGGGCCAGTCTACGTGAATAACATTCAGCGAAACCTATTTTCGCAGCGATTTACATTACATTACATTATAATCAAAGGTCTATCAATATGTACTGACGCTTATTAATCAATGACTTTTAATATATAAGTTAAGGGACGGTACTTGGGGGAGTGTTATTTAGTATGTGTCGGCCTGGGAAATTTATATATATGAACAAAAATAAACATAACTTTGCCTTGTTGCCCACGAACACACTTACAAAAAAAATGAGTTTAGTTAACTTATAACAGCACAAATAGTTACCTCGGACGAATTTGTAATATGTTAGTACAATCTCCTGGGGGGGGGTGCGTTTTCTTTTCCTGGGTGACTACCGAACGCGAGGTTCCAGAGGACTCACTCACACCTGGAACCGAGAGGGTGTCAGTCTGACTACTAGAGTAGAAACAGGAACAACAGTCACTACCTGTGTCTGTCCGGAGAGGTACCACCTTTATCTGGAAGTACAGGGAGTTGATATTTATTTGTTGTGTATCAAGTATTAATTTCATAGACTTTCTGCTGTCCTGATTTCAATGGGGAGCTCATTCCACCATTTTGGAGCCAGGATAGCAAACCCACGTGTTTTTGCTGATGGGAACTTGGGTCCCCCTCGCAGTGTGGGTGCAGCGAGCTGTTTGGCTGATGCAGAGCGGAGTGCACGTGCTGGGGTGTATGGTTTAACCATGTCCTGGATGTAGGAAGGGCCAGATCCATTCGCAGCATGGTACGCAAGTACCAGTGTCTTGAAGTGGATTCTAGCAGTTACCGGAAGCCAGTGAAGGGAGCGGAGGAGCGGCGTGGTGTGGGAGAATTTAGGAAGGTTGAAGACCAGACGAGCCGCTGCATTCTGGATGAGCTGCAGACGTCGGATGGCACATGCAGGTAGACCAGCCAGGAGGGAGTTGCAGTAGTCTAGGCGTGAGATGACGAGGGCCTGGACCAGAACCTGCGCTGATTTCTGGGTCAGCTGGGGACGTATCCTCCTGATGTTGTAAAGCGTGTATCTGCAGCAGCGGGTTGTAGCAGCGATGTTTGCAGTGAAGGACAGTTTGTTATCTAGGGTCACACCCAGATTCCTTGCAGTCTGAGTCGGGGAAACAACAGAGGTGCCGATGTTGATTGTTATGTCAAGAGTGGGACAATCTTTTCCCGGAAGGAAAAGCAGTTCAGTCTTGTCAATAATCGTTGTGTTAGAATGAGGTGGTGGGCCCTCTCACATGCAAAGGGCCACTGGCTCCCGAGCTCTCAGTCTTGACAGTAAATCTCATATTCAGGATGCTGATATTGGTGAAATCAACATTTATTATCTTTTTCAGACTCACAGCCCAGCTCAGCTTGTTTGAAGTCACCGGCCTGGCCAGTAACCGGCCCGCACCAACCCTCCTGTCGTCCAGGAAGGCCGCCACAGGAGACGGGACCCCGCTCCTCTGCATCCTGTTTGAGACCAACCCGCTGGATGAGAGCGCCAACCAGCGGCTTCATGTGGAATCACAACCCTTGGAAATCATCTATGACGCTGTGAGTGGTGTCTGTCGGCATGCATGTACCAGCATTACATAATAAAATAACATGAAAAGTTGTAAATATTATATATTTCTGGTGGGTTTTGTCTCTGTAGATAACGGTGAACAGCATGTCAGCGTTCTTCTTGCCCCCCGATGACCTGCAGCTGGATGAGCTCACCAACGCAACCCTCATGAAACTGGAGCAGTTTAGAGACCGCACATCCACCGGTCAGTGGCACACACATGTACAGACCTCAGGAACTGATCCCAAGCCTGATCTCAACTCTGATGGGCAGACATGTCCATTCCTCGGCCCCTCTTTTAACTGGGTCATTTTCCTTTTCCCATATGCTTCACCATAGCCTGCGGGCCTCGCCCTCTAAGTCAGTTGAATTGTGGTGTTCCTGTTTACTTCCTTCTTTCCTGAGATTGTTTGCTGAGATTTTAAGCTTGTTTCGCTTTTACAAATGCACAAAGCAAAGCTACCCTTCCTTTGAACACTACAACTGTTAGAAATGTTGAAATGGAAATAAGTAATTAGGTTACATATATTTAATGTATGTTGCAGAAACATACTCTAGCATATTTTACACATTATGCTGAGAATGAATGTTATCAAGATGTTTTTATAACAAATCATTCTTGTTATGCCATGAAAGTCTTCTGTATTTGATCACCGAGCGGATCCCTTGTTTTGTCTTTCCTTGCTACAATTAAGTTAACGACTTCTTGCTTTTGTTTTTAGGTCTGATGTATGTGATCGAAACACAGAAAGTTTTGGACCTGAAGGTGAACCTGATGGCCTCCTATGTCATCATTCCACAGACCGGCTTCTACAACGGCACTCAAAACATCCTACTTTTGGATCTTGGACATTTCCAGGTCAGAGAGTGTAAAACGTAACAGTGGGCTGAACGTGCAACCTACACACAACTGTATAAAAGAGCTTTTTTTACAAATATTTAATTTGAAGACTTTAGAGTACTAAAAGTTTAAACATTTCAATTGTGTTGTCATTTCAGATGTCCAGTCAAAGCAAGAAGAATCTGCCTCAGCTGTCAGTGGGCACCAGCAACATTGAAGACATTATGTCCAGAGCATACGACAGCTTTGACATACAGCTTAGCAGCCTGCAGTTCCTTTATAGCAAACCAGGTACTACACACAGGAGGACATGCACCTTTCATGGATACTTTTGTGTATGATTGTGTGTAGTAGGTGATTAACTCTTGGAGCCTTGTTGGTTGTTGTAGCCTAGAAAACAGAGGGATGATTTTAGGACATTTAGTATTGAGGGATCATATATGAATGGAGAATAGGAAAAGTATGAATGCTCTGTTTTCAATTTGTCTGTGAAATAGAAGGAAATGCTAATCATGTTCTGTGTTTGTATAGATTGGGACTGGAAAATGGCTCGTAAGCAGAAACAGTCACCGCTGCACATTCTGGAGCCGGTGGATCTGACGGTGGTTTTCAGCAGGGCGATGGTCGTCACAGACTCCCGCATGGCAAAGTCAGTTTGAAGTTTTTTCCATCACATCCTGTTATTTCATTTTCTGTGATGTAGGGCTAAAGATTCTGAGCACACTAAATCTTTTTGTTCCGATGTTTGCACCTGTGTTCTAGGTTTAAGATGTCGGGCGAGCTCCACCTGCTGTCTCTTCGTATCTCTGATGTTAAACTTCGAAATGTTCTGGAGCTAGTTGACAGTATCCCGCTGCCTGAGAGCAAACCTGCGGCAAACGGCTCTGCTTCAACCTCCAAGGTAAGAACAGTCCAATTATCCCTAAATGGTTCTGTTCACATTTTGTGTTGATTAGATGAATTACCTAACAATAAGTAATGGTTTTGGGCAGAAAACATGATGTTTTGAGCTCAATTGTACCCATGTTAAGTGTCAATGATAGCTTTTTCGTTATAGTAAGACCATTTTCAGAGACAAAATGATTAAGAGGGATCTTTTAATCATTTATACAAATCCACCAGTTGAAGAAAATGATTAGATTTAGCATCAAATCTGAGACATAATGCAAGCATGGTCGTGTCCATCATATACTTCGATCGTAGTGTTCTAAGCCCTTTCAAACTTAAACTTACCTATTTCCATGGGCTCCTAACAAAAACACAACACAGTGTTTATTACAGATGTATGGACAGAAAAGCTTGACACACAGTGCTGAGCTCCGTATCAATGTATGTGTTTAGGTTTAGATGATGAACACCACCTCTATGGGGCAGGTACGGTCCTCTTTAATCTAATCTTGAAAGTTCACTGTCCCACACTCTTAAAGAATGTGTTATGACCTAATAATAACAAGTGGTAGAAAATGAAGTATGTGTATGTCTCATGTTTTGGTGTTTTTTCCTCCTCAGCCGAAGCAGTCGTTCACCCCACAGCTCACTCCCAGAAGACCTCTGAACTTAGCCGACCAGCGCTCCTCTCTCATGTTCGAGTCGTGTGAAACCATCAGCGTCAGCTCGTTGGGTAAGACGCATTCTTTAGCCATTTCCTCCACGCTGTGCAACACGTGTCATCGTCGCACTACATTCTTTGAGTGTGTGTATTTCAGTTTAGCAGACGTGTCATCGTGTGGGTTTTTGGATTTGTCGCCCCTCAGGTTCAGAGGAAGATTTGTTTTACGATGCTCCCAGCTCTCCCGTCGGTGATCGAGCATTCTTTCCCGATAATCCGATGCCGCTGCACTACGCAAAGTTTAACAGAAGTAAAAGTTCAGAAGCTCAAAAGAACATGACTGACCTCATCTTGAACTTTGAAATCAGTCAGGTATAGAGAGGTCTTGTTAAACAAAGTTACAAAAAAAAACATTGTCTTTCATGCTGTTTAAATTCTCTAATTGTCTTTCCATTATTCTATTTTTTATTTTCTCCTCTTTGTTCTTCTAGTTTTCTGTTCAGTTGTGTCGTCTTTCTGGAGATCAGGAGGTCGCGGTGCTTCACTTGGACATTGAGGGTCTGGGCACTGAACTGAAACTACGCACCTTTGACATGACCTCTAACACCTACCTACGGGAAATCTGCCTCAAGTGCCCTGAATACATGGGTCAGTAGATGCTTTCAGGACTGAGTGTCTCCTTCAACAGTTCAGGAGACATTATTTATAACTCCATTTGGGGGTTATGAGTCTTAGCTGCACGTTTTATTTGTCATGTGTTAATTGTTTCCTCTTTGTTTTAGATTCTGAAGAGCAGCAGGTTCAGCTGATCACCACTCTGGACAACTCAGAGGTTGACCTGCTCACCCTGGAGTACATTAAAGTAAGTTGTTGATTATTTTTAGATATATTTATCTACAGTTTACAAATTGTCAGTTAGAATGTATGTCTTCCAAATGGTTGTAAATGGGTTTCTCATTATGGATTGTGTCCTATTTCTTTTTAGGCTGATAGGAACGGCCCTGAGTTCAAGTCTCAGCACAACAATACAGAGCAGCTCATCAAGGTGAAGGAAATGTTAAATACATTATTTTCCGCTGTATTGGAATACATTCATTTCTTGCACCAAGTTTCACCATCAGTATTTTATGCTTGAAAAAGTTGCAAAACACATGATTTAAAACCACAATATGTTTAGACTGTTGCCAATAGAAGAACAAAAGCAATATTTGATGCAAAAAAAAAAAGATGCCATTGTTTTTTCTCCATTTAAAATGTTGACGTTGCATTCCCATACAGGTGACCTTCTCATCCCTGGATGTTCATCTGCATACAGAGGCTCTACTCAACACCATGAACTTCCTCACCAACCTCCTTCCTCCATCCACTAAGAAAGAGGCAGTGCAGGAGGAGCTCCCCATCATTCCTGAGGAAGAAGAGGCAGAGGCAGAGAAGGAGGGAGAGAAGAAGGAGGAAACTACTGTAGCCAAGAAAAAAAGTACCGAATAAATCTTTTCAGAATTGAATTCAATGTTACTTTCCACAGCCGTCATTCTCCTGTGGCTGTCTCCATCACTATTCAAAGCCTCACCTTTTCTTTCTCACTTCCTCTTGAAGGTACAAAGCCTTCAAAGTTTGCAGATGTGGTGAACTTGCATATCAGAGCTGATCTCCGCTGTCTGAAGGTTTTCATTCGGGGACAGAAAGCCAGGATTTCTGAGATTAGTATTGAAGGTATGAAATGGCTTTGAAGCTCTCTTGCTTGACCCTGAAGATATGAAATTCAGCCCTTCTCCAATGCACTTTTGTGGAGATTGATTATGTTATTGTTGCCACTTTTGAGTTATTCTCTCTGAATTGGCATTTCATGGAAGTATACCATTAACTGAGAAATGAACACTTTCTTACTGACTCACTTTCTCAACCACCCCAGGTCTGGTCTCTGAGGTTCTGATGAGGAAGAAAGGGATGGAGGTTCTGGCCAACCTGAAAAACATTGTGATCCTAGACTGCGACAAAGATGCTCTTTACAAGAAGGTACCATCAGCAAGTGGCCCTAAAGGACTCTATGCTCATCTATCGGGACCTATGTCTCTCTGTCCAATACAAATCTGATTCTATGTCTATATGGTCTATATTTATACTAGTCTTTATTTCATAAATGTTGACCACTATGCATGAGACGCTCTGTAAAGAAATAGTAGGTGATTCTGATTTGTAATGGAGAAAGAGCTCGAACGCGATTGAATCTCCTCATAAGGAATTGCAGGTTTGTCTCGTGCTCTCATAGATAATAATAATAGATAATAGTCGGTGCTTATGACTGTGTTTTTTCAGGAGAATCCAATAAGGCTGTCTCTGTCGTGCTTACACACATACTTTTACACTCTCAACAAATCACCATGTGTATTTTAAACAAATTCAGAATAACCAATGTTTTGTTTTGTTGCAACATAAGAACATGTCAAAGAAGTTGAACGTCNNNNATCGCCGCCACGTATCTACACACACACACACACACACACACACACACACACACACACACACACACACACACACACACACACACACACACACACACACACACACACACACACAGACAAACACAAACACACACCTATCCTATAGCGTACATGGCCTGAGCGTCCATCAATGAAGAAAACGTAGTGAATGTTAAATAGTAGCGCTTCAGCACTACGGACAGCACCATCACACTCCTGGTGAACATATTACTGAAATGCTTATTTATTATAAGATTTGAATTCATTTTCACACTTTTTTTCCTTTTTGCCGCAATATCAAAACCACTGCCAGAACCAGAGTGCACTGCAATATCCTAGTGTTGGGAGTTTATGTGACAGGAAGCACTTTAATTAATCTGAAAAATGACCTGTGAGTAACAACCAGAGAAAACACACGAACAGAGAAGCTCTCTCTATTTCTCTGTCACACACAGACACACATGCATACACACTATGACAGCTGGCCCTAAAACTTTACATTAATATTTAAAATGGACAAGGCATTTATCATTTGGTCAGGGTGTCTCTGGATTTATATTTTTCTTTATGCCTCCCTCTTTCTTTACTTCAGACTTGAATACATTTAATTACAGCAACATTTACTAAATTAGGTGGAAATATTTATACATACAATTTCTAAATCTTAAATTAAATTCCAAAATTGTTAGTAGTTTGAAACTTAACTCCACAAATATGAACACAACACAATGATTCAACTAATGTAATGGATATAGGAACGTTGTTGAATTACCAGCAAGATAGAACATGTGGGCTGGTTAAACTACAAGTTCAACCTTTCAATAATAACATGGGACCTCAGTTACGCAATGAAACGCTCTAAACCTGGAGCTTTAGGGGCACCTGGGGGTCTGGGACACCAAATACAGTTGTATACTTTCTACTTGGGTAGGAAATGTAGGCCTCGACTACAAAAAGGAAATCATGCACGTGTTTGGACCGAGCTGCAATTTACATAGTGGATATGAAACTAGTGACTGCTAACCATTTAAAAACTAAACACATTACAATATGCTCACACATTAATACTTAAAGCATATAAAGTGTTTTTCTGAATTGTTTAGTTAAATTATTAAAACTCACTCCTCTGATTCAGTACGATACTCTGATTCAGCAGTGAAAATGCTTATCTCTATTATTTCGAACATTGCATCACTATTACAAGTGATTTTGTCTCTAGTCTAGTGCATATTGAATATGTTCCTCTTGAAACATCAGCCTTACCTTGCAGTATCATGATTTTATTATGAACGCATACTGTTGGTTTCAAAATGCTGCATCTCACACAGTCATGCTGGTTCAAGGAGTTTCAATTGATACATTTATATCAGCTATACAATCATATAATGATGTACAGTACCGTCATCTGATTCACTTGTTTGACGTTGGAAAAAACGATACAATTATGACTGATTGATATCTTGTCAAGCATGTCTAGAAATGAAAAGTCAGCAGTAACCTTGTGTGTGTGTGTGTGTGTGTGTGTGTGTGTGTGTGTGTGTGTGTGTGTGTGTGTGTGTGTGTGTGCCTGTGTTTGTGTGTGTGTGTGTGTGTGTGTGTGTGTGTGTGTGTGTGTGTGAGTGTGTTTGTTTGAGTGTGTGTTTTTACTGTCAATTGCTTTTAGGTGAGAACAACATTCATTCACATAGCATCTCTAACAGATGCTATGATTTCCTATTTGTGGGAAAGGCAGTGATGCTCTGGTCTGACAGTAATGGAGTTAGTGCACTTCCAATGTGGTGAGCCAAATGGTCTTTGTACTCTTAGAACAGAGCAAGCCATAAAAATGATTTCTGGCTAAATCTTCCAAATAAAACCCTCAAACAATCGGTCAAAGCATTTGGCTGAAAGGTGAGCTTTTGGTTATCATAATATATTTAGTGTTGTATGTTTAGTGTATATCTAGTGTGTAACTGACTGCAGATGGCAAAAGGGAAAAGTACCAGACAAATCAGTTAACACACCTAGAAATAAAATGTTCATCGTCAATAGTTCCAGTAAAACACCCAAAGACTTAGGTATAAGGAACCAAGGTTTAAGGTTTTCCTTTGAGAAGTGATCTGATTCCCATCCTATTGTAAGGTTGCTGTAAATAAAGGATAGAGAAAATATGTCAAGGTTCCCTTTGGAGTTCAGTCTATTGCTGTATTATCAGGACTATTTTAGTCAAGTGGATACTCCTTTAATAAAAATACCCTGACAGTTTATGAAAGCAAAAGGGAGGTGGAAGAAACCTCACAGCTACATCGACTTTAACACAATTTGGGATATCCACACGAGTAAATCTGCTTTACGTTTACCCTTGTGGCTGAGATAAGATAAAAGGGCCTCAGTATAAAAATAATTTAGAGATGGATATGAGAGAGGGATCCCTCAGTATAAGTTCAGGTACAGATACTTGTTCCAAATCCTTCTAACAAGCTACGTCTTCAGTGGGAACACAAGCAATTTAAAAGATACATACACAAGTTAGTGGGAGAGGAAATGTGTGGAAGGTGTTACGTGCCGTAGTGGGTGTTAGTGTGTGTGTGTCTTTCTCTCTCTCCCTGTATATTGTCTCCACGTGCAGCCTCTCCCTCCAGGTGCAGCTTCTCTTCCAATCACCAATCAGGGCCTCCATAAAGGACCTGAGAAAAGCTGCAGTCACTCTCTCCTTTTTCCTCCTCTGGCTGCCTGTGTACAAAACTGCCGGTTGATAGGAGATGTGCTCCTAGATATATCGATTCTTTAATATTCTGTGCAAGTTGGCTGGTGAGCCTGTGTTCCTGTCTTGTTCATTAAACGACCTGCTCGTTACTTCAGAGATTGGTTTTCTCTCTTTTTTGTCGTGCTTAGTCATCCTTGTGTTTAGTTACTCCTGTTGGTACCCCTAGACTTGGAGGGAACGTAACAAAGGGAAAACGTGTTTCTCAAAGTCTAAGTCTCTGAAAAACAAATAGAGGAAGAATGAGGAATTTTGGTGAATTGTTCAAGGTCTGTATTGAAATACTTTGTACAGTCAGAGAAAGTATACACTCTCCCCTGTTACTTTCATTTAATTGGATCCATTCTAGTAAAGTAGTGTGTTGTTTGGTTTTGGGTGTGTGTGGTTATGCGTGTGTGTGAGAGAGTCCTCAGGCCAAAATTACTACAAAACCAGCAAAAATATATTACCAAAATGGGTAATGTCAAAATTCCTTCTCCAATGTATTTTTTACATCACCAACATGAAAGGATGGTGCAGATGCTTTTCAAAATTTACATTTTATTGTCAACTGCAGATGGTAAAAACTACAGCTCATACTTAGGGATCGCTATGCTGCCCGTCCAGTAAAGAACTAGATACGAAAAGTGTTCAAATCAGCTGAAATGATTCATCTGATTTGAAGAACATCTGTGCTGTGCTGTGTGAAAGCCAGCTTCCTCAGTATGGAAATACAGACACTCAGTGTTTAAAGAACAGGGACAAAAACGAAGTCAAAGGAATATTTAACAATTCAGAGCAGTCCAATGCAACAGAACCACAGACTGCAGACTCTAAACAATAGTTTAGAGCTTTAGGAACACTCAAAATTAAAGCAAAAAAAAAAAATACTTATGGTGGGTGTATTGATATCGATTTCATTGCATTGTTCTCTTATTTTGCCCACCCTGTAACTGTTTACAATATGTTACGAGCAGACAAAAATGATGTTGCACATTGAAATATTTATTTTTAATATAAGGCTGACGCTCGTGTACAATGTAAAATTGTTTCTTGGGCTTGTTCAAAAGAAAGGAACATGAACATATTTTCTGGTTAATAATTATTTATTTTCTTCTAGTGACAGTTTTGTTGTTGTTGTAGAAGTTTGAGGCCAGAGAGGTTGCCAAATACATGACTGAAAGCTTCATTTGCAGAATACTAAGTAAGTCACTGCGATGTATAATGATAGTTTTACCTTTACTGACTGAGATAACTCTTGAAGGCAACAGGCAGACACGCAGCAGCTTTGATCCATTAGTGCCCATTTTGCTCGCTCTTTTATGGGGAAACTGTTGTATTTTTCCTCTAAATAATTTCCCATTACACGAGTAAGGCTTACAGCGTCTGCAACACAGTCCTAAACTGGTTTAATTTTCCATTGAAAACAATAGGCCTCGCTAATTGATTTTAATTGCTCTCTCCGCGACGATGAGCCCCTTATGACTTGGAGAGAGGTCTTTAAGATTATTATTATTAGTATAATTGCCATTACCCCCACACTTTCCCTTTGCGAAATGGGAGACAGAGAAACAATATCTTTGCCCTTAAGCTGAACAAATAATTATTAGAGACAGGAAACAAACAGACGACCGTCACTCACACGCACTCACACACGCACACACACATATAAACGCTCCACCTTGCATTAGACCCCCTCCTGGCGACCCTCATTCCCTCCGCCGCCCTCTTAGTGCAGCATGCCGCTTGTAATTTATGCAAAATTAATTGATACATCTTTTATAATTGATGTGCTGTAAACTTAATGAGTAATTTATGTAATTAGTCAATTAAGGATAATTCCAGCATATGTTCCGTATGCCCAGAAGGTGTGCTTTACAACTAGTTATTTG